TCGTATGTGTAGACAAACCTACCTTTATCATGGCAGGATACCTTGCTGCCCCTCTGTGGAGAATTAACTCTTTCTGCAAGGCATGTATGATTTCAGTATTTGCCTGTATGTTGTCTTCGGCCTCACACCACCTTTCCATCAGCTTCACCATAAATTGATGCTGCCATGAGAATATTTTTGGAAAATATTCCAGTTCATCTTCAGGAATTTCACTGAGAGACAGAAAGATAATTTATTAACTCTGCAAAAGGAATCAGCTTTTCCTATGTAGAAACACAAAAGCTTCAGGAACTTCCAAAATTCCACTAGCCCATAGTCTTGCAGTATACTTCATGCAGGTATTTCTGTACAGGGTGCAGAACTGTGAGTAATAGACACTTTACTTCTCTTTGCACTTAACAGATGATGATGATGATGATGATGATAATCATTCTTATTAATTGTTTCATATTTTTGGGTAAATATAAAAGGTAAAGCTATCACTATAACAGGCTGTGAAGGCTCGTAGCTTTGTGAGACGTCGAGGCTCCCATATTTTCTCTAGACAGTCAGATCACAGGTGGAAGTAAGGTTGTCCGCCTTATGTGCTGGCCACACTTAACCCCCAGGAAGATTCCTGATACTCATTTCTGTTAGAGGCTGAGTAGACCTCAGGGCCATACTGCGGCTCGAAGGATTAGGCAAATTGAAAAAATCCACCTCATCTGGACTTGAACCCACGACCATATGGCTTATAGCGTAGTGCCTCAACCATGCTACCGTGTGGCCCTTCATTATGTTTAGACCAAGGATAAACGCAACCACAGTTCTGTATTTCTGTTTGGACCCAAAAAACCATTTTACGAAGAATGGGCACTAAATGTTTAAGGCTTTTAGAATTGTGATATGAGAGCTTAGAGATGACAGTGGAGAGACCACCACAAAACTTCCTACTTCAGCATTTGTTACACGAGGGATATTCGGAAAGTAAATGTACAATTCCAGAAAATATGCAAGGGATTTTTTCTTTTTCAGAAAAGGGAGTGAAATAGGGACCCTACGACAGGGCAGATTTCATCGGCCACAGTTATGGGAACGTTGTGCTGGCAGTTTTTGTTTAAATGGGCGTGTCGATTCAAAATCCCGCCAAATGCGAGGTTCGTGCAGTAATCCGAGTTCTTCATGTGAAAGGAGAAACTGTTGCTGAAATTCATCGCCAACTTGTTTCTGTATATGGTAAAGATGTTCTTAACGGGTGAAACGTTGCAAAATACTGTCGTGAATTTGAAGTGGGAAGAAGTGATGTGGAAAACCAGCCGTTGTTAATGATGAGATCATAAAAAAAAAAAA